TCGTCATCAACATTTATTTACATAATGAAATTGGATGGATTTGTGTGTGTTTCATAGTGCGAAGTACTAATCAACGACGGGTGTCTCAAGCGAAGACAACCTAGTTTGTTGTTAGACTAGCTGTTGTCTCTTTCATTCATTCTCGACTTCATGCATAGCAATAGAATATAGACAGAGGGAAATTGATTCTCTATGCCTTCAAGCGTAATCGAAAGAGAAAGAAATGGCATTCTTTAAATAAAAAAAAAATAAAAGGGAAGACGATATTCTGTCAAAATGAACAAGCAATATAGCACTTCTTTTCTTTTTTTCTATTTCTGTTGCCTTAGGAAAAACTGTTCATTTTCTCTTGTAATATTCAGTAAGAGAAAAAGAAAAATAATATTACTATTCAACGGATCGTCTTTCTTTGTTTCATTAACGAACGAGAACAAGAGAGAGAGAGAGAGAGAAAGAGAGCAAGAAAAACGAGTTCTTTTCTTATGTTTGTCTTCTCGCTTATCTTCTTTTTTTTTATAGTTATTACTGGTTGAAGAGATACACGTCATAGTTATTGTGATTATTCTCCTTCTTTACTTTTTTGACATATATAAAGATACTATTGAATTGTGATCATTGACTATTAAGTATGTATACAAATAAAAAAATTGAAAAAAGAAAATTTTTTATCAGATAACATTTTTTATTTCATATTTCTTATTTTATCTCATTTTTTTGTTAGTAATGAAGTTGACCGATTCGTTCTATTACGAAGAAAGTCGTGGTCAATGCGGTCGTAAATTATTACGTGAAATTGGTGAACAACGTCGAACAAAAATTCATTTATATGCTTATGAAAGTTGGCCAAAACCAGCTCTTATTTCACATTGGACAATTAAAACAGTCTGGTGGTCAAAAACAAAATGTCAAATTATTGAACGGTTGGGTCATCGAACAAGTATCACCAAGTACGTTATTGGTCTTTTATTTTTTTTCTTTTAGTGCACTTCAATTCTTGTAAAAAGATTATATAATGAAGTAAAGAAAAGAAAAAGCATAATCATTTTTGCTTTTCATTCCCGAAGCAATCATCACCCATTTTCTTTTTATTTTGAACATGCGGAAAATTTTAGTCAATGTAAATGAATACTTCTATAACTTATGAATAGAGAAAAAGTATGTGTAAAATATATCTTCTTTCAAAAAAAAAAGAACAATTATGATGTACACATAATTTTCGGTGTCTAATGAAGGCTGTCATACATATGTAATGAACTTAATTGACCATTCGATAGCACGTCGAACCTTACAAGCTATTGATGATTTCCATCTGTAAATGTATGTAAGTCTTGAAAAGAACTGTAATTAGTCGCATTACTCGACATTGTATGTATGTGTGACATGCAACATGCGCGCATATTACATCGGTGAAAATAGAGCGAGGTCAGTTCTTCTGTCATATATTTATACATAATGACAGTAACATGTAAAGTATGAGAATAATCATCAGCTTTTTTCTGTTCAAGTACAAATACGATTATATGACATTACGTGTTCCATAAATGCATACACAAGTGTGATTGACAGACAATCATATTTCATGGTACGTCATAGGGGAATTGAAAAGGAGAATAAGATTTTCTTTTTTTTGCTTTTCAAAAGAATAAGAATGTCTCTATTGGAGTAATATCTCGTTTCTAAATTGAGATAGACGAATATTTATTTATACTAAAATGATCAGCGACTCAATATAAACCTCCTCTATTCATTTTGTTGTCGATTAATCGTATTATAAATGCGAGCAGCCGTAGACTTTCTGCTTGATGACTAATCTGATTTCGTCTTGCAATTGTGTAAATGTTCATGGATTCGGAAAAAAGAAGAGAAAAGGAAATGAGAGTGATGGTCAATTTTCATTTTATTTTATTTCATGTTATAATTATTAATGAAAAATGTAATAGCCGGACGAACACAGGAAGTAGACATTAACATGCTGTGAACTAGTAGATTTAATGAGTTCGATATTATGAAGGAAAAGAAAAAGCGTCTTCATGACTAGACGAGATAGAACAGATCATGAAAGGTTGTAGAAGGGCATAGTAATGGCAAACGCGCAATAAACCGTCAGATACCAATTTATTATTTATTTACGTTTATCTGCAAAATATTAACCTCGATAAATGTGCCTAAATAAACTAGAATTATGTATGTTATATCAGTAAATAAAAAATCTTTTACGTGTATTGAATGATAATGAATTCAGTATATTAACATAAATAAGTAGCAAAATTTTTTTGTTATATGAATATTTATTAACTAGATATTAACATTAAAAAAAAAGAATCTATTTATATTTCTAGAGGTCATATGAAATGTTTGGGTAATGGTCGTTTAGAAATAACTGGACAATTTCAACGTCATACAGATGCTTATTTTCGTCTTGTTCTATCATCACAAGTAACTGATGATGATATATCTGATGGTTATATATTATCAGGAGATCTTGAACTCGGTGATACAAAAGATACAATGGAACAAAGTCATTTTGCTGTAGTAAAATTTGAACAAAAACAACATCATAAACATACTATGAATGATTATTATATAAAAGCACGTCGTTTATTATTGCTTGGTTGTGTATAATTGATATAATTTGTTTTTCGACAGTGACCATTAACAGTGGTTCTTATACTAGTCAATATTTCGTTTTTTTCTTTCTCTTTACTGTCTATTTGTTGTGGATGATTAAACAATATTCATATGTGTTCTTCTTTTCTTTTTTTGTTTTTGTTTTATCAAAATTTTAATAAAGATAACATATAGATGGTTGATGTTGAACGGATAGAATAATATGAAAAATTTCTATCATCAAAAAAAAAAATGTTCCTTCGACTCAATTATTGACTTTCGTTTAAATGAATGCGTACACATTAAGAAAAAGCATGTCAAGATAAAATAGAAAGAAATGAAAACATTCTGTTTTTTTTTTCGTCATATCTAATAATTGTAAATGTTGTTTTTTATTATACATGTAATTATCAATGTCTGCCCTTGACTCGTACTTAATTGTCAATTATGATAAATTGTCGGATTTTTTATTGCTTTCCAATTGGACCCATATCGATTATTATAGTCAGTTCTAAATTCAGTACATTCCTAATTGGATATACTGATTGATTATTCAATCAAGATCAATGCGAATCATAATTAGAATTGTCAGATCAAAAACTTAAAAATTAGAAAGGGCAATTTTTTTACAAACTAACACCCATTATATTAACATGCTAGCATGAAATGCTCTATTGAATTCGTGCTCATTGACTTATATTTTATTTTCAAAGGTATTTCACCAATTCAATGAATATATTGTTTAGTGAATACGAAAAAAAAACACATTGTATTAGACTCTTCCACTAAACTTAAAATTCGTTCACAAAAAAAAACAAAAAATACAAAAACAAACCATTCATTTCCAATTTTTTCGAACATGTTTTATCAAAAGCAGGTATGAGTGAAGGGAAGACTCACATTCGTATCTGTACTCTAACGAAGCTGCAATCTAAAAAAGTTCAAATTTCAGAAAACTTTCTCGATTTTTCAAAAGATCTAACGATCCTGATAATAATTAAAGTTGAGGATATATATATAATACTCGTATTTCATGAGATGACTATATTCAATTTAAATTCACAACGTGAACATTGATCTAATCGTTATAAGCGTGTGAATAAGACCTGTATGGAAGTAACAGAGAATCTTCTTTTCATGCAAACCGAGCCATAAATCGATAGCCTAGTTGGCGAATAAAGGGACCGAGTTTGAAATCGATTTTTTTCAGCATGAATCGATCGATGTCCTCGAAAAATTAGTGATTAATCACAAATGAACAAAACGATAATTGTGAGCTAAAACACGATAAACCGTCGATTTTTGTGAATGATTATTATTTTGCACTATATCAATGTGATTTTCTTCATGTAATCTCGATTTCTACTGTTATACTGAGAAGTTCCTATTACTAATTTACGTTAACGGATATTTTTGTTAAATAATTAAGTATTTACATTATTCTATATGAATAAAACGTGTAATAAAAATACCAATGCGGCATATAATTGCTCATAGTCAATTGAGAATACAATCAAAAACAAAAAAAGAAACAAAAAACATTCACCAATACAAATTGATGTTTTAAATTGTATTTTTCTCTGAAACCACTCCACATATAGTTGGTTTTTTATTAATAAATTAAATATCTAAAACAGAATGGAATAGAAATCGTAAGTAGAAATTAGAACCAAACGTATGATAACAGAAACGTCATCTTAGAGAAGAGAGGCAAGTTTTTCATGACATCCATACTAAAATAAAATCTTTCTTTTAGCTTTAAATCTCTATGATTATAGCTTTAAAAATGTGTAGAAATTATATTTAACTCTCAATTTAACAATTCTTAACAAATATTCTCTAATTTATTGATAATTTACAATCAGCGATTGAATACAATTAATCACGATTTTACTTCGATTGTTTTAAAAATCGTTAGAATTTTTATGATATAAGAAATCCAAAAAAAAAATTAAGTTCAGAAAAATCAATTGAGGAGACACCTATTATAAATGAATCCTTTCTTGGTTTAAATGATATATATATATTGATCTTTATATAAATAGAGATGTTTATTTTCTTAAACTTGATTTAAAAACCTTTAACATATGACTATCTATTGAAATTGGTTAACAGATGTCGCTCATTGACAACAATCACTTGAAGTTATTTTTATAAAATTTATAGTATATTAAAAAAAAATGATATATTTTTTAATAAATTTTATTTAAAATTTTATTTAATATATTCATCAATGAAAAACTAACGAGTCAATATTGAATATTTAATTGGTCAAATAAAGAATTGTGTCATACTCGGCCAACAATCACTAACGTATTCCTATATTCATAGGAAATTTCTTTCTCTCCAAAAAACGAAGAAATTTCAAATTTAGTATCTAAAAATCAATTAGAATGGGTCTTGGTGGTAGTAATTTAAAAATTCCAGGTGGTGGTACTGAAGGTTTTCATGTTCTTCGTGTACAAGATGGTTCACCTGGACATAAAGCTGGTTTAGAAGCATATTTTGATTTTATTGTTAGTATCAGTGGTATTCGACTTGATACAGATAATGATAGATTTAAAGAAGTATTAAAAGAAAATGTTGGTAAACCAGTTGAACTACTTGTTTATAGTAGTAAAACACAAACAGTACGACAATTAACATTAATTCCACATGAAAATTGGGGTGGTCAAGTATGAATATGAAATGAAAAAAACAAAAGAAAAGAATTTTGTTTTTAAATTATTTTTCTTTTTTTGTAATTAGGGTTTACTTGGATTAAGTATTCGATTTTGCACATTTGATAAAGCAAATGAAAATGTTTGGCATGTCTTAGATGTTCAGCAACATTCACCAGCAGCATTAGCTGGTTTACGTTCAAATACCGATTATATTATTGGTGCTGATACATTATTAAATGATGCTGAAGATTTATTTACATTAATTGAAAGTAATGAAGGTAAACCACTTAAACTATATGTTTATAATAGTGAAAGTGATATGACACGTGAAATAACACTTACACCAAATGTTGGATGGGGTGGTGAAGGTAGTTTAGGTTGTGGTATTGGTTATGGTTATCTTCATCGTATACCAATTCGTACGGCAACTGTACCACCAGTAACAAAAGGAAATTTACCAACAAATTCATCTATTATAAGTGAAAATAATGCTATGAATAAAACACCATTACTTTCAGCAATACCATCATCTAATCTTAATGAAAATACAAGTATGAATATTACACTTCAACCTGTTAATATGCCACCAATAGCAGTTACAGTGCCAAATTTATTTGTTCCATCACCACCAGTTACTACAACAACAACTGAGACAACATTAACAACGACTAGTGGAACTCAACCAACAACAACAACAACAACAAATGATCCTAATCAATTTGCTAAGTATGTTGAAAAAATATAATTTTTATTTTTGAGTAAAATGTTCCTCAAAATAGATAGAATAAAATAATCTCTCTCTGATTAACAACTGGTTTTTTTTTGTTTATTAAGATATTTTGGTGATATGACACTTAATCCATCACCTACTACATCAACAACTTTTCCTTCAAATTCTGCAACATTTGTTCCTAGTTTTTCTAACACTCAATATCCTCCTATATCTCAACCTTCTGTTCAACAAATAACAAATTCAGGTCCAACTGATCAATTACCATCTGTAGTTTCTCCTCCAGTAATGCCTCCATCTATTGGTGGAATGTCAAGTTCTCAACAACAATCAACAAATCAAGGTCCAACTGAACAATTAACATCGGTAATTCCACCTCCAATGATGCCTCCATTTAATTTTCAAATGCCAAATCCTCAACAACAACAACAACAACAATATTTTCAGCCTGTTCCTACATCATTATTTACTGATTCTCAATATCAACAACAACAACAACAAGCTCCTTTTCAATTTAATCCAACCGCTAATACATATCCAAATCCTTTTTCAGTTCCACCACCAACATATGCTCAACGATCATCACCATTTACTCATGATCATGATAGTAGCGGACATGGACATAGCCATGATTATGGGATGGGACATGGTCATAGTCATGATCATAGTGGTGGTCATGGTCATAGTCATGATCATGATGATGGTCATGGTCATAGTCATTAATAATTGTTTTCTCATTTTCCTAAATAATCATGGTTATGTCGTTTTTAGTTCTCATTGTGGGTTCAGTGCGCTTTTATATGCTTACTTTTCCGTTTTGTTCTTTTCGTGTGAACTACTTTTATCGCTTTTACTTCTAAATTCTATCTCAAGCTAGAGTTGTATTCATTAGGTAACAAAATTCTCTTCATTTTTCTTTTTGTTCTTGTTCGACTACATTTTCTTTGTTTTTTTTTTTTTATTATTGTTATTATATTAATCGTTATTAAACTTTACCAAAATTCAACTACATAAATTATTTTCCTTTTTCTTTTTTGTTTTCATTTAAGATCTAAATTCAAATGAAAACAAAACTATGATGAATTTATATGAAAAAAAAAACAAAAAGCAATGAATCATCATTGAATGGTCAATGAAAATACTATCTAACATAGTATTATGAGGTAAAATTTAATAGAGATTATATTAATTCTTGTTTTTTGCTTTGACATTGATTGATGACAAATCAGTTCTTTTCGTCTTGCCGAAATCATCGATGAATAATACAGAGAAGAGTCATAGGCTAGATTTTTTTGTGAATTCTATACTTTTATTAAAATTTACAATGAAATTATTTTCAAAACGGAGAAAATCTTGCGAATATATTAATTGATATTTACGAATTAAGCAACAAATTTTTGTATCTCAAAAGTCTATTAGAAAAGTTAACGTAAATATCTCTTATACAATTCAAGCTTTTTAATTTTTATGTCAGTATGCGATTTATAGTTATATTACTGATCAAATTTAAGTCACATATGGTTGTGAAATGAAAATTACCAGTTAATTTTGATAAACATACATCAAGTGAACATTAAATTTAAGTTAAATTCTAATGTTTTTGTAAAATTAGTACAGTGAAAGATGGTCAAAAATACATAGAAGAAAATATCGACGAAGTTTATGATGTTTGTGAATATCACGCGTTCTTTAATACAATCTTGATTTGATGTGTTTTCATCAAACTCGATTTGTAGTTTTAGTTTCACAATTATATGTGACTTAAATTTGGATATTAATAAAACTATGTTTATAGGCACAGATATTTATATGAAAATATACAAAACAAAATTTTAAAGAATATATTGAAAAAAAAAACAATTAAATCGCTTGAATTGTGTAAGATATATTTGAGTTAACTTTCCCAGCAAACTATCGAAAAATCAAAAAAGCAATTTTATGTAATATTTTGCCCATCAAAAGGTTCAATGATCCTTAGAATATTCCTTGAGTGAGATGTACTAATAACAAGCGTCGTATTCATAGTTCATGATTTGTTATGTGTGCGATTACAATGTTGCATCCTTATTTAGTTTGGTTTTTCTCTTTATGAAACTTTAATTTAAAAAAAATGCATTAAAAAATGTTGTTTCTTTTTCTCTTATTAGACACAATGAAATTTTTATGAATATATTTGTTTATCATTATATTCGGAATTTTAGTGGTCTAATAGTTTTATATTATTGATCATAAATAGAATCTACAAGAATGTCTTTATCAAATTTATATTTCGTTCAATGTTTACTTATTTGATTAGAATAATTTTGACATGAAAAGAAATATTCTTGACTATTATAAATAATTTACATCCGTTGATATTTGAACGATTAAAAATACTTGATATTACTTATCAGAATGTTTTTGATGCTCATTATTCGACTACTATACGAAAATATTCACGTCGCCTTTAACTAAATGGTAAGTTAAGTTTTTTTATTTTTATGTAATAACTCAAATTGATAAATACTCAAAAGTTATTAATCTATGAAAGGATTCTCTTGGATAAGATGATCATCTTTCATTTATAAAAGTCACCTATACCTTTTTGTAGAGTAATTTGTGGCAGATAGAATGCTATATAGGAACTGCTTTTTCATCAAGTTTTAATGTTCTGAGAAGTTCTATACCAGGTAAAGAATATTATTGTAGCAATTGTAGATGATATGACCAAACTTTAGGACTCAATGTGTCTCATCTTCCATCATATATGTCATAATACTAACAATAACTTTCATCGTACTCAAAACTTTAGTATTTTTACTAGTTTCTGTAATTGACGTTTTAAAACCTTCAATACTGTTTCTGAGGGCAAAGACGACCAACCATGTAACTTTCTCAGAAATTATGTGCCACAACGCTCTATAAGTATATCAATGGATTATCCTCTGAATCGATGTGTGTCATGGTCAAATCAACCAGTCAATGCATAAAAAAGACCAATTTTTTAATTGCGAAGGACAGAAAAGTATACGAGTTTTACAATAAATATTTTTTGAATGAAACAGTTTCTATCAATAAAAATAAGTTGATCATGACATAAATGGATCTTTCAAGAATAGCAAAAAATTGTTCGCTATCAGATTCCTTGATGGAGTACGGGAATGTATTATCAAGAAGATTAGTTTTTATTTTATCTTATTCCTTACGATTTTAGATTCTGAGTAGTCGAATGTGATTAGAGTATAGAGCTCTATTATATTCAATATATATTCGGTCTCTTATGAGAATTAAAAATTTTGCATATCTCTATATCCTTCTCCAGGGATTCGAAAGTAAAAAATTTTGTTTTCCATTTTGGAAACATCCATTTATGTCAAATGATTAGGCTATGATGGACTTACTATTAATAGATAGAAACATTTTCCACTCAAAAAAGTATTTATCGTAAAACTTGTATACTTTTCTGTTCTTAGGAAGCGAAAAATTGGCATTATTTTAGGCATTAATTAGCCGGTTTGATCATGACACAACAATTCAGAAGGCACTCAATTGGTATATCTATAGAGCGTTGTGGCAAATAATTTCTGAGAAAGTTGCATGGTTGTTCACCTTTGTTCCTAGGAGTAGTATCGAAGAATTTAAAATATCATAAAAGTCAAAAATTACAGAAACTGGTAAAAATGCTAAAATTTTGAGTAGGACGAAAGCTATTGTGAGTATTATTAAATATGCACGATTGAAGACGAAACAAAACTTCATTGAAATAACTTTAAATAAAATTTGGTCATGCCACCTACGATTGCTATAGTATCCCTTAACTAGTATATGACTTCTCAAACACATTAAAACTTGATGAAAAAGCAACTTTCAACATACCATTCGATACGGTACGAGTTGCTCTACAAACCGGTTTCGATAACTTTTCAAATGAAGGATGGTCATCTTACTCGACGGGATTCTTTATCGATTTATTTGAATTATTTTTTTCTCTCTAAAATAAAAATATCAATAAGTTGAAGAAGTAAAATGTATGAACTAGAGTTCTTTAAAACATAATGTCTACTTAGATAAATAACAAAGTTAAACGACAAAATTCTCCATGAAAACTCTCGAATTAAATAGTTTGTGAATCTTGATTTTGAGAAGAAAAATAATTGTTTGTCATGTTGAATCTCTAGAATACTTTAATTATACTAACAATAAACATACTCTGTTTAGTGTTTCTTCTTTCCTGTTATTCGCATTTGAATAATATTTATAAATTTCTTAATAAGCGATCGAAATTATGGTATAACTTGAACGCACTAAATCGGATCAGGTAATAGAGAGATTCTTCATTGTGCTCTCAAAAAAAAATAATTTAGTCTTCATTTGTAAATTTAACTCGACTTTTATATAGTATTATTCATGTCAAATTTCTACTTTTAATAGTCAACACATTTTAATTACAACATACTCTTCTGTTTCTTTATCATACAACAAATTAACTTTACTGATGATTTTTATAAATTCTTTTCTTTCCATTATGTAACTTTTTATAATAGTTAACGAAAAAAGTTGATCACTCATAAAAAAAAAACTTGTTAGCACAACCTTTTAAAACTAAATTGTAAAACTTACATGCTTCATATAAGCTAAGAAATAATTTAGTAGATTAATAATTGAAGTAAAGAAAATAAAAAATATTTCATACTGATCAATATAGTGCTTATTTCTATGACGCGTTTGTCTGTAAAAGGAGAAGGTAGTCAAAAATTCTTGTTATACATTTACACTCACATTTTAATATTTGAATTACATTATGAGTCAGATATATTTCGTAATAGAATGAAATTTACGAAAGATTTCAATATACTTGCAAGTTTCTTTTTCTTTCTCAATGTTTTTTTTTGTATTACTTTCAACTATACTTACTTTAATTATTTTCATTTTAAAAAAAATAAACCGTAAAAGTTTAATTTCCTCGCAGCAATCAACTAAAGGCATAAATTCTTTTCATGATATTCATAACTCATTTAAATCTATATAATGAATCGAGTCTTGACTCAAAAGTAATTTATTAATTGAAGGACTTCACTCGTTCGTCTTAGGGAAAAAAAATACATTCTCATGATATTCACTTTTGTTTACTTAATGTATCTTCGAAAAGTTAATTAATAATTTTCTTTAGATCATTGAAAGCATTTATACGATTACTGCCCTATTTTCAACGACATACAACATTGTTTTTACGGAAAATGATATATTTGAATAATTCATGAAGAAAAATTATATATTAATCAAATACTATCTGATCATTGTAATGCATTTATAATTCAATTGTTCATCTGTGACTATTAATAAATGTTTTCTTCATTGATTTTGAAAACAACTTACAGTGAATTATTTGTCATCTCTTCCGCAAATTATATTGCATTTAATTTTTGTTTCAATTTATTAGAAAGAAACAGAACATAGAAAATCATAGATATATATGAACTGGAATTATTTTTTTTTTGTTTTGTTTTTTGTAGATTTTATTATTTATCATGGCATCGCGAGGTCCACCAACGAAAGTTCAAAAAGTTATGGTTCAACCAATTAATTTGATCTTTCGATATTTACAAAATCGATCACGTATACAAGTTTGGTTATATGAACAAACAACAACACGTATTGAAGGTTATATAATTGGCTTTGATGAATATATGAATCTTGTTTTGGATGATGCTGAGGAAATTTCATTAAAAAAAAATCCACCAAAA